GAGTTGTGACAGATGAGGACTGTACGGTTCTCCAAATGACTTAATTAAACAAGTTGCAGAGTTGGTCCAACAAATGGCTACTGGAGTTAAACACGAGCAAGTGTAAAGTGATGGAGATGGGAACAGGCGTTAGGAGAACAAAAGGACAGTACACAATAAAGGAGAACTACCTCTGTTATGAGTAAAAAAACGACGGTGGAGTGGACATAACACCTAACATAACTCTGGAGACTCATATATATATGATAACGACAGCATCACACCACAAGCGAAAGTCAGACCATCATTCAGGAACCTAAATAAGGAGACATTTAGGTAGCTGTACACCGTCTATGTGAGACCAGTTCTATAGTATGCGGGCCCATCATGGAGCCCTCCACCTAACAAGAAACCACTCTGTAAAACGTCTAAATTATTGGGACCCATTAAAATGTCTAAATCTGTATTCTCTAAAGCGCAGGTGGGAGAGGTACATAATAATTTACATATGAAAAGTATTAGAGGAGCTGGTCCCAAATGTGCACACAGAAATAACACCACATGAGACCAGGAGGCATGGCAGGATGTGCAGAATACCCCCGTTGAAAAACAGGTACTGTTTTTGTAACGGTACGTGCAACAGGTACTCTAAGAGAAAACTCTATCAACATCAGAGGCCCGAGACTGTTCAACACGCTTCCACTACAAATAAGCTTGCCAAACACACACCGAAATTACGACCTTGGTACAACATTCGAACAAGTTTTAACACCTAACCAGTTATAACAACCAATATAGCAAGTTGTAACAACGTTCTAATACGTCATAAACACGTTAAGCGAATATGTAACAACTTTATTACAAGTTGTAACAAGCGGAAAATAGAGACAGTTACGGTTTGTGTTTCCAGGGAATGGCATAACTGGCCGACCCCTCACAGTGTTCAGGAGAGAACTGGATGAACACCTCCAAAGGATACCTGATCAACCAGGCTGTGACTCATACGTCAGGCTGCGAGCAGCCGCGTCCAACAGCCCGGTTGATCAGACCATCAACCAGGAGGCCTGATCAGAGACCGGGCCGCGTTGGACCTTGACCCCTGGAATCAACGCAAGGTAACCACAAGGTTACCTTGCACTTGTTAACCTTGTTTTGCCCTTCCCATGACATGGATGAAAGTTTGTGCTGTGTTCCCCAGCACACAGACCGATCTGTGTGCTGTGTTCCCCAGCACACAGACCGATCTGTGTGCTGTGTTCCCCAGCACACAGACCGATCTGTGTGCTGTGTTCCCAGCACACAGACCGATCTGTGTGCTGTGTTCCCCAGCACACAGACCGATCTGTGTGCTGTGTTCCCCAGCACACAGACCGATCTGTGTGCTGTGTTCCCCAGCACACAGACCGATCTGTGTGCTGTGTTCCCCAGCACACAGACCGATCTGTGTGCTGTGTTCCCCAGCACACAGACCGATCTGTGTGCTGTGTTCCCAGCACACAGACCGATCTGTGTGCTGTGTTCCCCAGCACACAGACCGATCTGTGTGCTGTGTTCCCCAGCACACAGACCGATCTGTGTGCTGTGTTCCCCAGCACACAGACCGATCTGTGTGCTGTGTTCCCCAGCACACAGACCGATCTGTGTGCTGTGTTCCCAGCACACAGACCGATCTGTGTGCTGTGTTCCCAGCACACAGACCGATCTGTGTGCTGTGTTCCCAGCACACAGACCGATCTGTGTGCTGTGTTCCCAGCACACAGACCGATCTGTGTGCTGTGTTCCCCAGCACACAGACCGATCTGTGTGCTGTGTTCCCCAGCACACAGACCGATCTGTGTGCTGTGTTCCCCAGCACACAGACCGATCTGTGATTGTTGACTCGATGTGCAGTCGTAGGCTGGCGAAGTGATCACACCAAGATCGGAAGGAATCGTTGAGACAAAATACTGATCACAGCCCTGCAGGCCTCTCGAGCCACACGGCCTCTCGAGCCACACGGCCTCTCGAGCCACACGACTCGCGCGAGGTAACCACAAGGTTATCTTGAGATGATTTCGGGGCTTTAGTGTCCCCGCGGCCCGGTCCTCGACCAGGCCTCCACCCTCAGGAAGCAGCCTGTGACAGCTGACTAACACCCAGGTACCTATTTTACTGCTAGGTAACAGGGGCATAGGGTGAAAGAAACTCTGCCCATTGTTTCTCGCCGGCGCCCGGAATCGAACCCGGAACCACAGGATCACAAGTCCAGCGTGCTGTCCGCTCGGCCGACCGGCTCCCTTAAGGTAACCACAGGTAACCACAGGGAGGAAATAAGCTTTAAGGAATGAGTTTAGAATGAATACATAGTGCTATTATATACTCTCCATCCATGGTTAGGTTAAGCTTACTTTAGATGGTTAGGTTAGGTTTCATTATGATGGTTACATTAATACTGTGCATTGACGATAATATAAGAATTCGAAAACTATTTCATTGTACCCAAGAATTCCATTTGCAGAAAACCAAATCACTTCAAAAAAAATTTTCAGCTTATACTTCTATATTTTAAACCAATGACTTATAATACAAAAAGTTAAAACAAGAATAATTGCTATTTAGGACAAAGGTTCACTTGTCAGTTTACATGTTGACTATTACTGGATCCCCTAGTATGCTTATAACCATCACAAATACCTAGGTAACTATCCAAGTGGTTGGGGGGGGGGGGGAGGGGTAATGGATTTACTATGAGGATGGGCACCACAATACACAAAAGGAAACAGAAAAATTCAGAAGTTTGTGACGAGGTTTTTCTCAGAATTGATGGATGGGATTGGAAGAGAGATTAAAGGAAGTAAATTAAAGTAACAGGTTGTAGAGGGAAACTTCATTCGTTATTGTAAAAAGTAGATATAGTAGATAAAGTAGATTGTTGTAAAAAGTAGATAAATAGGTCAGGAGTCATTACATAAAACAACTGGCGACTAGAAAGGCCAAAAGCCAACGGCTCGGTTCAGCAGACATAAATTGCAAATACACACGCGCGCACATACACACACGCGCGCGCACATACACACACGTGCGCGCACATACACACACGTGCGCGCACGTACACACACGTGCGCGCACATACACACACGTGCGCGCACATACACACACGTGCGCGCACATACACACACGCGCGCGCACATACACACACGCGCGCACATACACACACGTGCGCGCACATACACACACGCGCGCGCACATACACACACGCGCGCACATACACACACGTGCGCGCACATACACACACGTGCGCGCACATACACACACGCGCGCACATACACACACGCGCGCGCACATACACACACGTGCGCACATACACGCGCGCACATACACACACGTGCGCGCACATACACACGCGCGCGCACATACACACACGTGCGCGCACATACACACACGCGCGCACATACACACACGTGCGCGCACATACACACACGCGCGCACATACACACACGTGCGCGCACATACACACACGCGCGCACATACACACACGTGCGCGCACATACACACACGTGCGCGCACATACACACACGTGCGCGCACATACACACACGTGCGCGCACATACACACGTGCGCGCACATACACACACGTGCGCGCACATACACACGCGTGCGCGCACATACACACGCGCGCGCACACACACACACGTTACGAATGGAGTCCCGCAGGGGTCAGTCCTTGGACCTATACTGTTTCTGATATATGTAAATGATCTCCCAGATGTATAGAATTGTTTCTCTCAATGTTTGTTGATGATGCAAAAATTATGAGGAGGATTGAAACTGAGGACGATAGTAGGAGGCTACAAGATGACCTAGACAGACTGAGTGAATGGTCCAACAAATGGCTGCTAAAGTTCAACCCGAGTAAATGCAAAGTAATGAAACTAGGCAGTGGAAACAGGAGGCCAGGCACAGGATACAGAATAGGAGATAAAGTACTTAATGAAACGAACAGAGAGAAAGATCTAGGAGTTGATATCACACCAAACCTGTCTCCTGAAGCCCACATAAAAAGAATAACGTCTGCGGCATATGCGAGGCTGGCTAACATCAGAACAGCGTTCAGGAACCTGTGTAAGGAATCATTCAGAATCTTGTACACCACATATGTAAGACCAATCCTGGAGTATGCGGCCCCAGCATGGAGCCCGTACATTGTCAAGCACAAGACGAAGCTGGAAAAAGTTCACAGATATGCCACTAGACTAGTCCCAGAAATAAGTTGCATGAGTTACGAGAAAAGACTGCCGGAAATACACCTTACGACACTGGAAGACAGAAGAGTAAGGGGAGACATGATTACTACTTAAAAAATCCTCAGGGGAATCAACCGGGTAGACAAGGATAAACTATTCAACACTGGTGGTACGCGAACAAGGCGACACAGGTGGAAACTGAGTACCCACATGAGCCACAGGGACGTTAGAAAGAACGTTTTCAGGGTCAGAGTAGTTAACAGATGGAATGCATTTGGCAGAGATGTGGTGGAGGCTGACTCCATACACAGTTTTAAATGTAGATATGATAGAGCCCAGTAGGCTCAGGAACCTGTACACCAGTTGATTGACGGTTGAGAGGCGGGACCAAAGAGCCAGAGCTCAACCCTCGCAAGCACAATTACATGAGTACACACAAGAGGGTGATGTAGATGAGGAGGAAGCAGCTACCAGACGTGACGGAGAGAGAGGACCTCGCCTCCTGTCCCGGCCCCACCGTGTCCGTCTCCATGGAGGCAGCTTAAATTCAGATTAATATTACTTAATCCCTCCCAGCCTACCAGGGCGGCCACCCGTGATCAACACTCCCTTAGTTAATACCCCGTGATGGCTGGAGATATATGTTGGTACGACCAGGGCAGCCAGTGGTCCCTACCCCATGCCAGAGGATGAATGGCCCACTTAATTACCACGATAACTGCCATTATTTAAGGGTTGACTACATCAGTCCCGCCCTCCCACCACACCCCGAGCCCTCGCCCCACAGGGCTGTGGCTGATGGAATGTTCCCCGGAGGCATACGCCAGTAGGCCTACACCGGAGGCATACACCAGTAGACCAACACCTGAGGCATACACCAGTAGACCTACACCTGAGGCATACACCAGTAGACCAACACCTGAGGCATACACCAGTAGACCAACACCTGAGGCATACACCAGTAGACCTACACCGGAGGCATACACCAGTAGACCAACACCTGAGGCATACACCAGTAGACCAACACCTGAGGCATACACCAGTAGACCTACACCTGAGGCATACACCAGTAGACCTACACCTGAGGCATACACCAGTAGACCTACACCTGAGGCATACACCAGTAGACCTACACCTGAGGCATACACCAGTAGACCTACACCTGAGGCATACACCAGTAGACCTACACCTGAGGCATACACCAGTAGACCAACACCTGAGGCATACACCAGTAGACCTACACCTGAGGCATACACCAGTAGACCAACACCTGAGGCATACACCAGTAGACCAACACCTGAGGCATACACCAGTAGACCAACACCTGAGGCATACACCAGTAGACCTACACCGGAGGCATACACCAGTAGACCAACACCTGAGGCATACACCAGTAGACCAACACCTGAGGCATACACCAGTAGACCAACACCTGAGGCATACACCAGTAGACCTACACCTGAGGCATACACCAGTAGACCTACACCGGAGGCATACACCAGTAGACCTACACCGGAGGCATACACCAGTAGACCAACACCTGAGGCATACACCAGTAGACCTACACCTGAGGCATACACCAGTAGACCAACACCGGAGGCATACACCAGTAGACCAACACCTGAGGCATACACCAGTAGACCTACACCTGAGGCATACGCCAGTAGGCCAACACCGGAGGCATACACCAGTAGACCAACACCTGAGGCATACACCAGTAGACCTACACCTGAGGCATACACCAGTAGACCTACACCTGAGGCATACACCAGTAGACCTACACCTGAGGCATACACCAGTAGACCTACACTGGAGGCATACACCAGTAGACCTACACCTGAGGCATACACCAGTAGACCTACACCTGAGGCATACACCAGTAGACCAACACCTGAGGCATACACCAGTAGACCTACACCTGAGGCATACACCAGTAGACCTACACCGGAGGCATACACCAGTAGACCAACACCTGAGGCATACACCAGTAGACCTACACCGGAGGCATACACCAGTAGACCTACACCTGAGGCATACACCAGTAGACCTACACCGGAGGCATACACCAGTAGACCTACACCGGAGGCATACACCAGTAGACCTACACCGGAGGCATACACCAGTAGACCTACACCTGAGGCATACACCAGTAGACCTACACCTGAGGCATACACCAGTAGACCTACACCTGAGGCATACACCAGTAGACCTACACCGGAGGCATACACCAGTAGACCTACACCGGAGGCATACGCCAGTATACCAGTCATGATAAAAACAATAAATTGGCCTAAATACACTATTAAACAACGATGTAAATATTGACAATCTGAAAAGCTTTAGTCGTGTATATAAGAGTGAATATTTGACACAAGTTTAACCCATATGCTCCAGCAGCAGAGAGGAGAGCCGCGGGTAACCAGCAAGTATCATGCTCTGGACCTCACACCTGTCACAGTCGCACTCCTGAGCTTCTCTATCCCTTTGAGACGTAGGGTATTGTCCCAATAAACGCTCTTGAAGTTAAATAACGAGGGTAAGGTGAGGTAAGGGAGTAGAGAAAGTACCAAAGCCGTGACTATATAGCACTGGGAAGGGGTCAGGATAACGATTTGGGATGGGACGGAGGGGGGGGGGGGGAAGTGAATAAAAAATCAACATGGCGTGTCAGCAAGGCGGCTGACTAGCAAGACGGGATCCAAGAGTTAATGCTCGATTGTGCAGGCTCGATCCTGCAGGCTCGATCCTGCAGGCAGGCAGGCAGGCAGGCAGGCAGGCAGGCAGGCAGGCAGGCAGGCAGGCAGGCAGGCAGGCAGGCAGGCAGGCAGGCAGGCAGACAGACTGCCTCTCCACGCCCCGTCCTCCTCTTGATGTAGTACTTATAATAACGTAGAACACCATGGGACATATGTCACGTAATGGACATTTAGAAAGTAGATATCGTTACTATTGAATTTGGACAAACCGGAAAAGGTTTTGTATTTATGTTGCCAAGACAACCTACACTACCCTTCCTAAGCCTAACGCACGCTATCTGAGGCCTAATATAGTACATATATGTGCTATACTATGCCTAGGAATATTTAAATTTGCTTTTTAGCTTTATTTTACTGTTTATTTTATTTATTATATCAGAAACAGTATAGGTCCAAGGACTTTTATTCTCTGTATCCTGTGTCCAAAAATTGTCCTTGAATTTGACAGTCCTCGTAGCAAATTCTACTGTCTAATTGCCTTTTATGTCAATTATTGTACTATCGTGCACATAGTTACAAAAAGGACTATCTAAACAGGAGAGAAAGTCTGTCCGACTTTCGGATAGTTACCCCCCCCCCAGGGCTTTAGTGGTTTCTCCGTAAGCTAACTGCTGAATTTCCCCAGGATGCAACCCACAACAGTTCTCTAATTCTTCTTTTTTGAGATATATACAAGAGTTGTTACATTCTTGTAGAGCCACTAGTACGCGTAGCGTTTAGGCAGGTCCCTGGAATACGATCCCCGCCGCGAAGAATCGTTGTTACAACCAAGTACACATTTTACTGTTGAGTTAAACAGTGGCTACAGTTAAGGCGCCCAGTAAATCCTCCCCGGCCAGGATACGAACCCATGACAAAGCGCTCGCGGAACGCCAGCGCGAAATTCCTAGGTACCTATTTACTGCCAGGTGAACAGATGCTTCAGGTGTTTAGGAAAGTTGCCCAAACGTCTCTGTTCTGCTTCCCTTGTTGTTTTACATTAGTATCGCATTGCCTCCTTCAGTATCCAGTTTTAGGACGACGTAACCACAAATCAGAAGATATGAGAAGCGACGACGTTTCTGTCCGTCGTGGACCATTAGGAAGGAGGGACCGAAACGTCGTCGCTTCACCATCTTCTGACTTGTGATTGGGTCATCATGTCTTCAGGCCCGTTATTGTGACTCATCGTCTCAATAACCTAACCCTATCCAGGGTTAGGTTAGAGAAAATAAATATTAAGTACTCACGAACCTGTACATCTTTTCTCAATCAAAAAGAAATATTGCCGGAACAACCGTGGACATCTTCAAGAGAAAACTGGACTGTTTTCTAAGAGAAGTTCCGGATCAGCCGGGCTGTGGTGGGTATGTGGGCCTGCGGGCCGCTCCAAGCAGCAGCCTGGTGGACCAAACTCTCACAAGTCGAGTCTGGCCTCGGGCCGGGCTTGGGGAGTAGAAGAACTCCCTGAACCCCATCAAGCAGGTATCTTTGGCGGCTTTGTTTACAATTATTAAACAGTTAATGAGCTCCGAAGCACCAGGAGGCTGTTTATAACAATAGCAACAGTTGATTGGGAAGTTTTCATGGTTGTAAACTGTTTAATATATGTAACCAAAGCCGTCAAAGATTGAGAAAAGATGGACAGGTTCGTAAGTGCTTGCGTAACTGCTTCGTGAATCTGGCCCCCTGGTCCTTCAGTCTCCATAGCCTTCTCATGAGCTATGGAACAGTTTCTGCCCAAATTTAGCCTCTTGTACCATACCATTATTGTATAGCTTCTCTGCCTCTCCCCTTGTCTCTGTGCACTGGTTCTTCACCAACTGTGCAGGGTGCATTGAGGTCTCCTGTTCTGTGTTGAAGAACACAGAACAGGAGGAGTTCTGTTCTTTTGACCATGTTCTCTTGCGTCTTAACTTCCCGTCTAGTTACTGGCTCTTGAACTATGGGTTAATGTTCTTCATGTGTCCCATGTGTCTCAGTCATGGTGTGACCCCATGTGTCTCAGTCATGGTGTGACTCTATGTGTCTCAGTCATGGTGTGACTCCATGTGTCTCAGTCATGGTGTGACCCCATGTGTCTCAGTCATGGTGTGTCTTCATGTGTCTCAGTCATGGTGTGTCTCCATGTGTCTCAGTCATGGTGTGTCTCCATGTGTCTCAGTCATGGTGTGTCTCCATGTGTCTCAGTCATGGTGTGACTCCATGTGTCTCAGTCATGGTGTGTCTCCATGTGTCTCAGTCATGGAGTGACTCCATGTCTCTCAGTCATGGTGTGACCCCATGTGTCTCAGTCATGGTGTGACCCCATGTGTCTCAGTCATGGTATGACCCCATGTGTCTCAGTCATGGTATGACCCCATGTGTCTCAGTCATGGTATGACCCCATGTGTCTCAGTCATGGTATGACCCCATGTGTCTCAGTCATGGTGTGACCCCATGTGTCTCAGTCATGGTGTGACTCCATGTGTCTCAGTCATGGTGTGACCCCATGTGTCTCAGTCATGGTGTGACCCCATGTGTCTCAGTCATGGTGTGTCTCCATGTGTCTCAGTCATGGTGTGTCTCCATGTGTCTCAGTCATGGTGTGTCTCCATGTGTCTCAGTCATGGTGTGACTCCATGTGTCTCAGTCATGGTGTGACCCCATGTGTCTCACAGTCATGGTGTGACCCCATGTGTCTCAGTCATGGTATGACCCCATGTGTCTCAGTCATGTATGACCCCATGTGTCTCAGTCATGTATGACCCCATGTGTCTCAGTCATGGTGTGACCCCATGTGTCTCAGTCATGGTGTGACTCCATGTGTCTCAGTCATGGTGTGACCCCATGTGTCTCAGTCATGGTGTGACTCCATGTGTCTCACAGTCATGGTGTGACTCCATGTGTCTCACAGTCATGGTGTGACTCCATGTGTCTCAGTCATGGTATGACCCCATGTGTCTCAGTCATGTATGACCCCATGTGTCTCAGTCATGTATGACCCCATGTGTCTCAGTCATGGTGTGACCCCATGTGTCTCAGTCATGGTATGACTCCATGACTGAGACACATGGAGTCATACATAAATACATATGTATTTATATATGTGTACTTGAGCACGAGAGCTCACACCTGTTCACACATATGATCGTATGTACTTATATTTTAGTCTGGGGTAGTACACACACACACACACACGCACACACACATACACACACACACACACACACACACACACACACACACACACACACACACACACACACACACACACACACACACACACACACACACACATGACTGTGTCTACATCTGGCCGTGTACATAACAAAGCCAATGAAGGTACGAGAGTGAGTGTAGACAGTCACATATATATGAATGATCCACTTAACACTTATATAGACGCCACTTATAAATCTCACACACAACACCACTTAACCTACAAAAGCTCCATGGTTCACCCCCCCCCCCCTCACTTGAGCGACACTTAAGAAGCTGTTTAACTTTCTCAGCAATAGCCATTCACAAACGTATCTTCGCCTGAATTTACCTAAATATACTCGAAGCTGTAAGGTGTGTTTTGTTAATGGCTTGAGTGTTTCCATTACAGCATATCTGCAGGTGTGTTTGTGTTTGTTCTGCACCTGCAGGTGTGTTTGTCTTCCATCTGCAGGTGTGTTTGTGTTTGTTCTGCACCTGCAGGTGTGTTTGTCTTCCATCTGCAGGTGTGTTTGTTCTCCACCTGCAGGTGTGCTTGTCTTCCACCTGCAGGTGTGTTTGTGTTTGTTCTGCACCTGCAGGTGTGTTTGTCTTCCACCTGCAGGTGTGTTTGTTCTCCACCTGCAGCTGTGTTTGTTCTCCACCTGCAGGTGTGTTTGTCTTCCACCTGCAGGTGTGTTTGTTCTCCACCTGCAGGTGTGCTTGTCTTCCATCTGCAGGTGTGTTTGTGTTTGTTCTGCACCTGCAGGTGTGTTTGTCTTCCACCTGCAGGTGTGTTTGTTCTGCACCTGCAGGTGTGCTTGTCTTCCACCTGCAGCTGTGTTTGTTCTCCACCTGCAGGTGTGCTTGTCTTCCATCTGCAGGTGTGTTTGTTCTCCACCTACAGGTGTGTTTGTCTTCCATCTGCAGGTGTGTTTGTGTTTGTTCTCCACCTGCAGGTGTGCTTGTCTTCCATCTGCAGGTGTGTTTGTTCTGCACCTGCAGGTGTGTTTGTCTTCCATCTGCAGGTGTGTTTGTCTTCCATCTGCAGGTGTGCTTGTCTTCCATCTGCAGGTGTGTTTGTTCTCCACCTACAGGTGTGTTTGTCTTCCATCTGCAGGTGTGTTTGTGTTTGTTCTCCACCTGCAGGTGTGTTTGTTCTCCACCAGCAGGTGTGTTTGTCCTCTATCTACAGGTGTGTGTTCTGCACCTGCAGGTGTGTTTGTCTTCCATCTGCAGGTGTGTTTGTCTTCCATCTGCAGGTGTGCTTGTCTTCCATCTACAGGTGTGTTTGTCTTCCATCTGCAGGTGTGTTTGTTCTGCACCTGCAGGTGTGCTTGTCTTCCACCTGCAGGTGCGTTTGTTCTGCACCTGCAGGTGTGCTTGTCTTCCATCTGCAGGTGTGTTTGT